AAAATAAAGGTGGTTTTGAAATTTAAAGGAAAAAAACTCCAAAAACTTGAGCAGGTGAGCTTGCCTGAGGAGAAGTAACACCAGGGGGTGGGGGGGAGGAAGCTGATGGAGCCGCTGTGCCCACGTTGGCTGCAAGCACCAGGAGTGTAAACCCAGCAGAACTGGGATGGGGCACAAAAACTGGACAAAAAGGGCAAATGGTTACTTCAGTTTCCTTCTGCAGGTGAAGCACTAACAGCAAATGAGGAATAATGGAGGAAAATCAATAGCAACAGGAATTGGTGATGGACATGAGAGCCCAGCACAGGATCCCACCCCCAGCCCTGTGAGTGCCCACCTGAGCCCCAGCCCTCCCCTGCACACCTGGGCAAAAGTCCCGCTGGTGCCAATGTCCCAGGTGTTTGGATTCGACTTGCCAAAACCCCAAATGTGACCCACAACCTGAGATCCAGAGTGAAACGGGGTGTTGGGAATTTGGTCTGAGCCAAAACGTGCATTGGTAAATTGTTAGTTTTTTCTTTTAATGCCACCCAAAAATACCCTAGAGCCCTGAAAAGCTTTGAAAGCAGAGCTAATGCCAGAGCAAAGGCAGCTGACACACCAACCCAGCGCTGCATCCTGATCTTTTCTTCCTATAAACTTGCTGCTGAAGTGTGAAAACAGAGTCTGTGCTTTGGTCAACCCAAGGTAACGGGTGAATCAAGAGCCTGTTCAATGAGATCCATGGCACCGTGTGCTCCACACAGCACCCAGCTGCTGTGGAATTACTCATCAGACCTGGTGTATTCCTCTGTGTGCTCCTGCAGTCGTTATCCTATAAAAACTAACAAAGATAAAGATTTGCTTTTGCTTTAAATTCCTGAACATTTCACTTCCTCACCTGTTACAGAACACAATAAAAAAAAACCCCCAACCTATTCACCACCTGGAGTGATGCAATGTTATCCCAGCCACGTCCCACTTCCTTATTTTCATTTTAAACTGAGTTCCTGTGTTCAGCTACTTTATTTTATTTTTTTTTTTTTAACAGCACTGATGCCAGAAAGTAATTCTTCTTCCAAGTAACCAGTGATGGAACAAGAGGAAATGGCCTCAGGTTGCACCAAGGGAGGTTCAGATTGGATGTCAGGAAAAAATTATTCACTGAAAGGGTTCTCAGGCACTGGAAGGGGCTGTCTAGGGAGGTGGTGGAGTCCCCATCATCCCTGGAGGGATTTAAAAGACAGGTAGATGAGGTGCTCAGAGATCTGGTTTAGCAGTGGACAGGTATGGTTGGATTTGATGATCTCAAAGGTCTTTTCCAACCAAACAATTCTATGATTCAAACTGGTGACTTGGTGTCTAAAGGTCCCAGGTTCTGCTAAAACCCCTGGGGTCAGGAAGCACTCATGTCTGACTTTCTTCTGTTGCTTTTTTGGGGGTTTGTTTGTTTGTTTGTTTGTTTGTTTTAATTAAAAAAACCCCAGCAATGCAAAGGAGCACCCTGCAGTGAACACCACCCAGTGAATTTACAACACTGAGCCTCAAGGACACGAGCAAAGTTTGGAGAGACTTGGTTGATAAATCCACCCACGATGGAGCTGACAAAAAGCAGGTTCTCTGGTTGCTCTTCCAGCTCAGCCTTGCAGAAGATGTCCCAACTGTGACACCACCTGATAATGTGCCCTGGGCTATAAACCATCACTTGTGAGACTCTGGGCAATGGGCAGGATCCTGCCCTGTGATGCTGCACCGATGGGAAAATGGGTTCTCAAATGATATGTGCAAAACCCCCCAAATAACTGTTCTTACAGTGGTTTTGGCTCCTGTCCTGGAGGGATCATGTCCCATCAGGCTGTACCAAAGCTCTGATAAGGTGCCTGTGCACTAGGAGAGAGGGCTGGATCCTGGGGAACCCCAGAAATGTGGATATTAGAAATACTCAACAATCATGGTGGGAAACTCACTTAGCAGTTGCATTCCAAGCTGTGCTTCTGCTCTTGTTTCTTTGTAGACAATATAGAGACACACATTGAGCTCAGCGTATAAACCATCTTGAGTTTCTACATTTATAGCATCTCAGGAGGTGTAAACTGTGCTTGGTTTTTGGGGGTTGTTCTGAGTGGTAAAAGGTGGAAGTTCTGAGTGTCTTGGCTAGAAAAGGAGTCTCTCCTCAGAAGGTCTGGAGGATGCACTGTGCTAAAGCTGAAGAACATCAGCTGGGTTCAAGAGGAAGTTCATTCCACCCAGTGCTGTGTACCTTCATCCTTGTTTGCAGTGCATCCTGAGAGCCTCAAATTGAAAATATTAGCAAGAGCATAATATTACTCGAGTTGATCCAACATTCCCTTAAAATGTTTTCTCAGCTAAAAATAGCTTCAGCAACACAACAGACACTTTGGTGAAACATTTCCTTTTGTGGAACACCTCAGGGTTTTCATCTCTGCCTTTCACTTGCTGATATTTGTTTTGTCTCTTCTTCCAAGACAAGTGTCCACAAACCCCATCGTTTTTCCAGGACTCTTTTGTCTTTGAAACGCCTCAGTAGACCGGTAGAAATGCTGGGTTTGATCCGAGCTCACAAAGTGATCATGGCAAAAAATCTACAGGAAACCACTTCAGCAATCACAATTCCTGTCCAAGAGAAGCAATGCTGAGCCCTTCACAGACCATCATGGAATGGGATCAACCAGAAGGTCCTTCTGTCCCCACCAGGAAGGCATTAAGGTGCTGAGAGCACCAGCTCTTCACAGTGTCCTCATACTAAACCCACCCTATTTACAGACAACCTGGGTACCATCAAATCCAAAACCTAACTCATCACCAGAAACCACATGTGCACATCCAAGATGGGAACACCACGGAGCCTGGGTACTTCCAGCTCCCTTGGCAGAACACAAAGCTTACCGTGGGGGTGCTCTGCCTGCAAATGGGTTCGTTGCCATCAAGGACAAGGTCTCTTCTTCTTGGGCCAGCAGCTTCCCAGCCAAGTGGATTATCCATTCATTCTGCTCATAGGTCTTGGGGAAGAAAGAAGAAATATAAATGTTAGGCACTGCTGGGCTTGCCACGTGGTGTTGTCAGCATGAAAAACTTCTGCAAGGTCTCTGAGGAGGGATTACAACCCATTCAGGTAGCAAATAATGAATTCTCTGGTGTTGCAAAGAACAGATCCCACAGGATCCAACACCTTGAGGTCCAGACCAAGACCCTCTGGCATCTGCAGGGAGCAGAGAGAGCTTTGCTGAGCTTGGCTCATTTGGAAATCACTCCTGAGGGTACACACACAACTGAGGGTGTCCAAGTCGCAAAGGTTTAATGAGCTGTTCGTTAGCTGAGCTGGGCCAGCTACGTGTAAGCTCCCAACTTGTCCCAGATGCAATGTAGCATCCTCCATCTCAAACATCCCCCATCTCAAGCATCCCCCATCTCAAACACACCAACTGAGAGGGCCAAAGAGCGTACCCATGGCCAGTGGTCACAGCCCAGCTGACCATTAGATGATGGTCAGGGATGCATCTCCACCTTCACCCAGCCTGGACAGTGACCTCTGCTCAAGGCATGATGCCCAAGGGGACATTTCTTGCCCTGCATCACTGCCCAGCCCACAGCACTGCTTTGTCCTAATGGCAGGGAGAAGACAACTACCAGGAGAGCACAGTGCATGGCTGGGCCAGGAGATGTGCAGCACACCCAGCCCATCCCTGGGCAAGGGGCACCCACCACCCTGGCTCTCTCCAACACCCAGCAGTTGTGGCTTCTCCTACACCTTGGATCACACCTCGGATCACTTCCACACCTTGGATCATTTCTCCTACACCTTGGATCATAAATCTCTTTTTGACTTCACACATCTCTAACAAAGCTGGAGCATTCTGGATAATTCTGCACCCCAAATACTTGATTTCAATAATTTCTTTTACCAGCAAGCTCCCCAGAGGAACAGGAACAACACGTTTGGAATGATGATCCATCCAAGGGTTGTTTTATCTTGTGTTACCACAGAGGGGAAAAAAAAAGAGACTTCTCTATTCCCCATGCCTTTCTCTTGCATCCTCTTTACTCCCTTTCACCCAATCTCTCCTCCTCACACCCCGTATCTGTGCCGCTCCCTTAATCACACAGATCAGCTCTCGGGAGCCGCAGTCCAAGCTGCAGTGGTAGAACTTGACTCTCCATCTCCCTCCCTCCAGGAATCCCTCCATCTCCTGCTCTTTGTAGGGATTCTTGCTGAGGCTCCATAAAAAGCATCTCCCCTTCTGCTGACTTTCTGTACCTTCTCCTTCTATTAATATTTGGGGTTTTTTTTTCTCCTTTTTTAAGCTTTACCTCAATGGATTTTTAATGCAAGCAGTAGGGGACACTGTGGGAAAGCGAAACCCAGCAGCTGTACCTGCAGGACTGGGACTAAACCAGAACATCCAGACAAAGTTCCTCTGCAGATCTTTGCTAATGGTGAGGTTTTGTTATTTCCGTTGCTACGGGAAACAGAAGAGAAACGAGATGGAAAACACCAAACCCTGGTGGAAAAGGCCCATCAAGCGGCAGCTCCACCTCGCCGGGTTTCTGACCCGTGCTCATCACAATCTAGAGGAAAACCACAGTTATTTAAGCCGACAACTTCTTAAAAAAGATGACTCCCCCCAGCCGCCTGCTTCCGTCCTGCCTCGCCACATGGCTTGTTCCATCTGCTGTCCCTGCTCCTCCACCAACGTGGGTGGGTGGGTGGTAGAGCCAGGGATGTGCCCAGCGCCAGCCCCATGCCATGCTCTGCCCACCCCAAAGCCCTGTTTAACCTCCAGCCCAGCCCTCTCTCCACTGACACCATGTGCCATCCTATCTCCCATCTCCTGGTGCTCTTCCTGGCATGGAGGAGGTGGTGGCACATCTCAAGGAAAGGACAGGGCAACCTCAGCTCCCACAGGACCGAGGCCACCGTGGCCCCGATGCAGCAGTCTGGGCAAGGAGCTGCGGTGAGCTCTGGAGCTGGGAGCTTGGCATCATGTGAGATGTTAAACACAAACCTTGCAAGACTTGTGATGACCCCACCAGGGCTGGCTGGGCTGCAGGAAGAGCCGGCAGCATCCCAACCAAGGGTTCAACCACCAACTCATGCTGAGAGTCCCAGCCACACTGAGCGACTCCGTGCCCCTTGATGGCTCAGCGATGCCTGAGATGCTCAGCTCAGCCTGGGCTTTAGGAGGGCAGGTGCCACGCTGAGACCTGCAGCCCAGGACCTCCTGGGAGGTGTGACAGCAATTGTAGACAATCAAATCCCAGAATCCCAGCATTGCCTGGATTGGAAAAGCCCTTTAAGCTCATCGAGTCCAACCATGAACCCAACTCTGACAAGTCCCCGACTAACCCATGTCCCTCAGCACTGTGTCTACACGACTCTTCAATCCCTCCAGGGATGGGGACTCCACCACTGCCCTGGGCAACCCCTTCCAATGCCTCAGAACCCTTTCAGCAAAGAAATTCTTTCTCACATCCAACTGAAAAATCTGGAGTCAGACCTTCAGCATCCCGAGCCTCCCTGGAGATCCCCTTGTGAAGTGCTCTGTATGATTTCAAGTGCTATTTCTAGGAGGGCCTGAGAGGTGTGAGTGTTCCTCTGTGTGAGTTGGGAAGAAACTGTAGAAGAACAGAAACAGACATCACCAGACTGCTGGAGCTAGAGTTTTATGGAGGATCCCAAATCTTCAAAGCCTGATTCAAAACCATGATGCTCTGTAACGGTGGAACCGGCTCCCTGGCTCGCATGGTCTCCAAATTGTTAATTAGCAGCTCCATGCACACAAGAGTCGGACTTCTGGTTTGTAAAGTGCTTTTCTTGTAAAATTTACAACATGTCTGGCCCCAGCAAAGTCTGTGGTGAGAAATTTCCACCCGGTGCAGCCCCCCCCCAGCACCAAGGCTTAGACACCGCACGTCACCGGTGCTGGGAGCACGCAGGAGTCCGGCCGCACTAACCACCGCGCTGTTTAACTCATCACTCTGTAAAGTGAGATGGTGGCAAAGGGAGGACAAAGAAGAGTCCAGGAGATCTGGGCTGCATCCAGGGAAGCATCACACCACCGGGTGGGAAAGTGACAGTTCCTCTCTCTGTGGATCCAGTGAGACCCCAGACCAAATGGTGCTTGCAGAGCTGCGATGGTCAGGATGGGAGGGATTCACCCCGCGTTGTTCTCTGCTTTTGCCAGCCCTGAGCGTGCAAAAGAGGAGACTCAGAGCTTGAACCATCCAGAGGACTGATAAAAAAGCCAGGAGAGATGCACACATGGCTTTAAGGTGGGCATGCATATGTGTATTCGGTCCATCTTTAGGTTGGGGGTCTTCACTGAAGACAGACACGCAGCTGGGGACTGACCCTGCTCTGTCTCCTGGCATCTCCATCAAGACATGAACTGAGACTCCCAAGCTGGCCTCCTGGCCTCCAAAATCTGGGGCTGCAGCTCCCCTTGTGCCGTACCCATCATACCCATGCTGGGATTACTGGGGAACCAGTGACCTGCGCAGCCAGCTGCTACAAGGTGCTGGTTGGAACATGCCAAAATGTGCCCTGAGCTGCACAACTCACTGTCCAACCCTGACCAGAGCATCCCTGGGGATGCAGCCCACCACGGATGTGGACATGACTCTCTCCTTTATCTTTTGAGAATTTTCTTTCTGTTTTAGCATAGAAAGCAACTAATGAACCTAAACACAAAAAAATCCATCATCAACTCAACAAAAATGCCTGAGAAAGGCAGCTCGGGCAGAGGTCAAGGTTCCCAAAGCAACACCATCTCCACCACAAAGCCAAAGCCTTTCTGTGTGGAAGGACAGTCCATGCAGACCCCCAGAATGCCCAAGGTGCAGCTCTCCAGTGAGCCAGATCATCCTGGACTGTCCTTACAGCTCATACCAGCACTCAAGACCTCCAAAAACCAGGTGTCAAGTATGACACAGACTAACAAAGGGGACCTGGGACTCAGTGTTGAGACCTGTGGTGGTTGCACTGGGAGAACTGGGCTGGCAGACAAACCCAGCTGCTCGCTCACTCCAACCCAGGGGACAGGGGAGAGAACTGGGGGGCAAGGGGAAGGAGACTCATAGGGTGAGAGAAGAACAATTTAATCATTGAAATAAAATAAATCTTAAGATAATAATAATAGTAAAATAGTAATAATACTAATAAAATACACATATGAGTGACACCCAGTGCCATGGCTCACCCCCCGCCCCCCAGGCCCAGCCTGTTCTCAGATCCCGATCCCGCAGGAGCCACAATCCCGACCCGAAACCGCAATCCCGGGAGAGCCAGAGCCCGAGCCAAAGCCAGAGAGAGCAAGAGAGGAAGAGCCCCTCATGGATCTCCTGCCCATGGGGGACACGAGATGGAATAGTCCACTGGCAGAGGCAAATGCCAATTTATCTTATTAATTTTAATATCCCTTGCCCCTCACATACCTTGTACCTGCAGACTGGCAAAACACAAAGTCCTTCAACTTCCAGTGACAATTGAAAACATCGGTCTGTTCTCAGTGCTTCTCTCCTGACAAATCCCAGCTGAACCCAAACCCCAGAGCTGTTCTGGCTGCTGAGAAGAACCAGCCCTGGCCCAGCTACACACTAGGATAAGACCCCATGAGCTTTTATTTCCTGATGGGCTTCAGCATTGATGGTGCTCAGGTAGCTGCTTTCCCCCCACTTTTCGTCTCGCTGCTTTGGGATGAGGTTTTGCTTCTTCTCCCCACCCACACAGGACCCAGTGTGAGGGGCTGAGCATCGCTGCACCCCTGGGGTACCACCACCTCCCAGCAGCAACGCTGCCCTCAGTATAAATCCTCCAACCTCTCCACTTAGATGCTTTACCAGTGTGTAAGCATGTATAATATTCACCTTGAATACATTAAATTGTATACCAAAATATTTAATAACCGTACAGAATTTAAAACCAAATCACCACTAAGTCAGGCACCAGCAAGGAGCTGGGAACAAACCAGCAGCACCAGCGACGGAACTCTGCAGAGATAAC